ATTAAGAGTATTCGAGTTACTTCCCTTTAAGCGCTGATCTGTAACTTGGTGTATAATTTTGATTCTGACTTTAAATTTGGTAACCAAATTTTTTACTTGATGGATGATTTAACCTCCAGTTAAATAATAGATCATAAATTAAATTCTAAACTGGTCTTCAAATTAGATTAAAATAAAAACGTGAAAAAATTTAATGACTTTTTTGTATCGTTTTTCACAAAAGCAAACAAATGGTTGACTTGCCAAGAATCATATATGGAATTGTTACACCGTAATTATGCAAAGAAAGGGTGATCAGCTTGCTTAATAATTACCGTATAAGCCAACTTCATGCATAGTGTGACCCTTGAATTTTTTGGCATTAATTTTAGCCCCTCCAGAAAAATGTATATGATTGCAACCGGTCACTAAAAAAATGAATTATTTTTTATTTTAACCTCTTCAAAAAATTATCTGTGTATAGTTTCGACTCCATATTTTGCATTGAAAAAAAATAAAAAAATAAAAACCCGCATTATACACGTGTGTATATACGGTACAATAACATTGATTTTTATTAATACGAAATATTTAGATGTCGTGTCGTTTTTTTGATTTTTTTTAAAAACAAAAACGTTTATTTTCTGCCTAATTTGCGAGTTACTTCCCCTGTATCACCAGAACTGTCTTTAAGGTAAATTTTACATCAGGAAATTTTTTTGTTATGCAGTGAAATTTTTTTTTTTTTTTTTTTAATTGCTTGAATTTTTTTTCTTGGTTTTTTAAATGCTGCACAAAACTTAGAATCTTGTCTATATCTTTAAGAATATAATTAACATTTCAAATTTTGTTAAAATAATTGAATTCCCTGGTGCTATACACCTGAAAGCCTAATAAAAAGAATGACTTGGTCAAAATATTGTGTTAATAACATTAATAAGAATATGAAGAAGGACCTAAGATATTAATAATTCTAGATTATAGGTCGGAACATATCTTTTTATAATGTTTAAATTCTTCGTTTGTGTTTTTATTTTTGTTGCAAAACTTAATTTCTATAAATAATTTGCACTAACAAAATTTATATAAATTAAATAGCTAATAGTTGAACAAATAAAGCCTGGATTGCCTTTACTAACTACATTGTCTAATAAAATATGTAATGTATCTTGTTAAATATATTGGACAAGGAATAATTATTGGTAAATATGTAATATCCGCCCACCTATTTAGTGGTGGATGTTAGACAATCTCCGATGAAGAAAAGACTTGAAGCAACAGAAATGTGTTTTAAGAGAAGGATGCTGAGAACCCCATTGATTGAACATGTGAGCAATGACAAAGTTTTAGAGAAAACGGCTGAAAGGACACTTATACATCAGGAAGATGTAGCTGAAATTTCTAGGGCACATAATGAGGAAAAAGGGTTTGGAAAACTTGCTTAAAGGCAAGAAAGATGAAAGAAAAATGCATAACCTACTTAACAAGATTGAGTAAACGGATAGTGGAAAAGGGTTTAGGAAAGATAAGACAATTTCTTAAGAGCTACAAAGAACAGGAAATTGTGGAGAACCATGTTCAAAAAGATACAGTACATAGAAGAATGAAAAGTTGGATTTTATGATATGTAAAAAGAACTTACCTGCTACTGTGCATCCTATCAAATCAGAGGTTTAGCTGTGTAAATGTCTGTTGTCATTACAATGTTTGTGTCTTTCTCTCGGTTTTTGGGAAGTAGCTAAGATTATTGTCGAGCATCCAGTCAAGGTGTAAAAATAAGTATTATTTAACTCAAGCTTTGAGTTCATCTTTATACCATTTTTCTTACTGCTTTGTTTTGAAGAGGTAAATGTCTCTGATAATGACTCCATTACTCACACAAGAAGAGTAAGTTATCTTCAGAAGGCAAGTTCGTTAAAATAGTCTCTTTAGATGCAGTCTACCTTGAAGACTAAATATAAGGTGACTTTTCCTCCTGCTTCTCTAAATGTTCTGCCAAATATGTCCTTAGAAATAATCCAGCAGTTAAAGGATTCTGCTTTAGTACCCAAAAAGCAAAAAGATAAGGTTTACAACTCAAACTGCTTGATAATGTAAACAAAAATAAATTTTATTTAAATTTATCAGGTTATTATTTGGGAAATAAGTCATATTCAACTGTGAATTAAGTAGCAATGGTTTGGTTATTTTCCCACAAGTTACTCAAACTAATATCTGTATTTTTCAAAGTGAAGGTTGGATAAATTAAATTATAACTACATGAAAAATAAAATCAGTGAAGAAAGTTCAAATTCTGGTTGAAAAAAGTCTTTGTTCTTTTTGCATTAATAACTTTAGGAGCAAAGAAGTAAATGAATGCATTTTAGCAGTATATTTTTTGTATAATTATTGCCCAGATAAAGTAGCCAAGTGGTTTTATTTATTATCAATGATAATAATCTTTTGTGATAAAGACAAGAAAACAGATTCAAAAGAATCAATGTATAATAGTAACAAAACTTTGAGATAGAAAGAAAGGAGGATATAAAAGATTGATTTGTTTTGTTTTTTTACACCTTATCAACTTTTGACAGGATATTTAAAGCCAGAAAATACTTTTAGATTCTAAGAAGTATTTTATTTTATTTTTCTTAGAATAATGATTTAGTGATACATCTTACTAATTAACCCATAGCTGGGGGGAGAAGAGTTGGATTCATATCTAATCAGAATTTGAAAAACAAATTATAATGTTGATATAAAGTTGAGGGGAGGGATCAATTATATATTACAATCAATGTATAAACTGATCCCTCACTTTGTGGCCACTGTAGCTTCTATACATTTATATTCCATAGAATATAAATAAATATAAGACATGCCTGTGTAGCTAATCAGTATTTGATCGAGCGATTGTTTTCTATGTTTTTTCACCCCTTGGCAGGATATTTAAAGCTCCCCGCCTCTTTTTTTTTTTTTTTTTTTTTTTTTTTTTTTTAATAAGGATTTAGGGATACAAGTCTTACTAATTAACCCATAGCTGGGGGATGAATAAATGGATTCATACCTTTCCCAAAGTTATTTGTGTATAAGTGCATATAATGAACACGACTGAAATTGAACTCGGCTCTCCAATTAACAATTCCGAAACATTATCCATTACACCACTGGCTTATCCAAGTTTACGGTACTAAGTATTCCCACGTGGTCATCCATCTAGGTACTCAACGTTTCTTAAATTTGGTACTTTGGTGGTCGTATAGAAACCAATGTTTCAACCTGGTGTGGCCATAATCAATGTTATAAAAGTAAACAGATTTGAAAGAATTAGTGTATAATGATGTTCTTATTGTTGCTTTTTCATTATATTTAATCTCTTATTGTCAAAGTAAAATTTATTTTATTCTTTGTTATTGGATCTGTACAAATTTTGTTTTTAAATTTGTGTGTTTTGTATGGCTGTTTTCTTTTTTCTTAAATGCAATCATGACAACTGACTTAATCTTTTCATGTGTTTCCCTTTGACCTTTCATCAATGCAAATATGGAAGATGTTTTTTTTTTTTTTTTAATTCTAAAATTGATTTCAAAGAATCCAAACAAACATCTTTTGTATTAACTTTTTCCATTTTCTTTGTTTTCTACCTTGATAAGCAACACCAATTTTATTATCCAGCTGACTGTTCACCTGAGGCAAGACTTTTCATTCGTCAAAATCTGTATACCTACGTGATGTGCAATTTTTATTCCACTTCCTATTTTATTGAAAATTCTTGTGACTCATTTGCAATCTCCCTTTCTCTCTCACTCCCCATTCTATAGTTCCTTCCTTATTTCATCCTCTTCTTTTTTCCTCACTCTCATATATATATATATGTCCAACTCTCTCTCTCCTTGTATTTCCATATCACTTCATACTCTTGATGCACTTGAAATTATCATTTGATTTTTGTTTACATTTCTCTAACTACGCACACACACACTCTCTCTCTCTCTCTACTAGCTACACACACACACACACTCTCTCTCTCGCTACACACACACACACACACACTCACTCTAACTATGCTCACACACTCACAAACACACCCTCTCTCTAGGTATATACATGCACTCTTTCTCTAGATATATACACACACACACACTCTCTCTCTCTATCACTGTGTGTGTGTATATATATATATATATATATATATATATATATACACACACAACTCCCTCTCACTAGCTACACACACACACTCTCTAACTATACTCGCATACTCACAAACATACCCTCTCTCTAGGTATATACATGCACTCTTTCTCTAGATATACACACACTCCCTCTCACTAGCTATGCACACACACTCTCTCTCTCTCTCTCTTTCTATACACATACATACGCGCACACTTCTCACTCTAGCTATAGATACACTCTCCTCTCTATACACACATACACATCCACACACACTCTCTCATTCTATTTATACACACACGCACACTCTCTCTCTCTCAATACTCATTGAGCTGCTGTATAAACCTCTGAATGTTGTGTGTGAGGAGAAGGCTATTAACAGGAAGTTTCCTTACCAAGTTTAGGTAGAAGAGTCAGGTAATCTGATACTGACAATGAATCCTCATCCATTTTGCTCATACATCTCTCTCTTTTCTACCAACATCACACAACTGTCTGCTTCCTATACCACATGGTTCTTTCTTTCTTTCTTTCTTTGAAATTCTACAGACACCAGGTACCGCCTACTTCGGCACCTGCCAATCAAATGATTTTATAACCCCACTCTCTGTGATTAGCTTATAAACTTAAGAAATTTATAAATAACTCTTCAAGTTTTTTTCTAATTATTTTTTGCTCTGTACATTTTTATTTATTTTTTTTTTTGTTTGCTGGGTTGGGCTGGGTGCTTCAAAATGATGTACCTACCTTTACACATCTCACAAAACTAATTTTTTATCAACTGTTTATTTTCACCCTCTCACTTCTAAGACCTCTGAAAATCTTATCTCTACCTGTACAAGGACTGTCCCTCTCTCTGCCCATGAATGTCTTCCTGTCTGTCTGTCCCTCTCTTGACATCTGTACCTGTACATAACTATCTATTAGGTACTAATACGGATTCACGAAAAAGCGGACATACCATGATGAAAAAAATGGCCCAAACTTAATAAAAACAAAGTTTTATCAAAATCTTTATTAATAGGAAAGACCAAAAGATTTTTTAATTATTACATTATATTTTTTTGATCCTTTTGAGAAGGTTCAAAATCTTTTTTTTTTTTTTTTTTTTTTTTTTTTTTTGCATGGATGGGGAATTAGTGTAGGAAATTTTAGTGTCTCTTTTGCAGTGAAAAATACACTGATTTGGAAATTCTTACAAAAAGCAAATAATTGTCAGATTTTACTGAAACTTTCAGGACTATTCCCAAATAAACTTAGTTTTTTTTTTTTTTTTTTTTTTTACACCTGACCCCCCCTGCCAATACATGCGCGCGCACACACACACACACACACTCTTATTCAATTTTATAAATTTTGCCATGCTCAATATTTATATTAGTTAAAAACGGAACTCCTTGGAGAATTTAAATACTCAATTTCTTTTTGTAAAACAGGACCCCCTGTTACTGAAAATCTATTTAAGAATAAAAAAAATTGATGAATAATGAATTTTTACCAGAATTGTTTTAATTTTTTTTTTTTTTAATTCTAATAATATATAAATTTTTAAACCTTCTAAAATTCTGTCTTAATTTGTTCCAGTTAGTTGATGTTGTTATAAGTAAAAACTACATTTATGCATAAACATGCCAATTTTGGATGTCCATACACGATATTATCAATTATCAGAAAATAAGAGCAATAACTATAGTAAATTTAAAGCCAAAGTACTTAAAATTCAATAAATCATTAGATTATGGATAATATTTTCTAAGTGTTTAAGATTACTTAGTAGTTATAAATTTTATAAAAACAGGTGTTCACATTATATTCCTCAAGTAATTTTTTCCTACCATAGAAAAAATTACTTAACTTCTCTCTGTCAGTCAACCTGTTACCAAGTTAAATAAACAGCTACTGCCATGTTGAAAAATGCATTTCTGCAATATTTTAAACTTAAAGTAATATTTGTTTCTAATCAGATTAACTCATTAATCAAATTAGTTAATATTCTTCAAATGAAATTTTAGAAAAGGATATTTTATTTTTGAAAGATTTTTTTTTTTTAATAAAGAGAACTATGTTGTGATGACAGATGGTTAAAAATGGCCTTAAAACCAGCAATTTTTGCAATTTCAAAACCCAAAATTCCTTCCAGTCAATATAAATTATATTTGAAATACAGAAAAAGTATTTTGCTATCTCTCTCTCTATTTCTGCCTGTACATATCTCTCTCTCTATTTCTGCCTGTACATATCTCTCTCTCTATTTCTGCCTGTACATATCTCTCTCTCTATTTCTGCCTGTACATATCTCTCTCTCTTTCTGCCTGTACATATCTATCTCTCTCTCTGCCTGTACATATCTATCTCTCTCTCTGCCTGTACATATCTATCTCTCTCTCTCCCTGTACATATCTATCTCTCTCTCTTTCTCCCTGTACATATCTATCTCTCTTTCTCCCTATCTGCCTGTACACACACACATATATATATATATATATATATATATATATATATATGCCTCTATCTATATCTCATTGATTTTACCCACAATCTTGACTTTGGTTCTACTACTACTACTAACAAGATCTTCGGGCACCACCACACCCCGTCCCATCCCTCTTTCCTAAGCATTTGAATGACGCGACACATCGTGGCCTCTAGTATTCTCTCCATCTGTTCTGTGACTAACCAAACTGCCAGACGCATAAACATACAACAGAAAGCGAGTCCCGACTTTAGCAGGCAACTTTATTCCTCGTGTTGTTTACTTCATTTCCTTTGAAAACTAATATTTCTCTGTGAAGAACGACAGAAAAACAGAGATAGAAAGTAAGAGAAAGGAAAGAAAGCGATATCCAGGAAAACAAAACAAACACGTGCTACAACAACTCACCTGTAAAAACTTTTTCGACTGTCATTGTTGTATTCGTTGTGTTTTTGTAGTGACTACGAAATCGACACTGTGTCATTGTCATTGATTTATTGGTCACTCGTGTGCGTGTGTGAGAGTTTTCTTTCTTGTTTTAAAAAAGAAGAAAAGAAAAATATGCCTGTGGTCACACCAAGGGTTATCAGTGAAACTGTTTCTTATAATATTTCGCAGGAAGAAGAAATTATCAAGAATGGTGAAACTGTTTCCATAAGCCGGGAAAATGCAGTCTTTACAGGTAAGTTAAGTTCCATTGCGTTTTCTTCTTTGTCTTTCATTTTTTAAAAAAATAGTCATTGTTTTTGTGGTGTGGGGAAGATACAGTTTCTGTACTGTTTTTTTTTTTTAGTCTTACAAAGAAACTCTACACATTCATTATTATTACAAATACACGAGGACACTGATGTGAGCATGGCTTTCTGGTACCCGGAATAATCGGGATCTACACAAGAAGGTCAATAAGTCCCATTTGAGTGCAGCTTCATTTCTCTTTCGTTTCCTTTCTCTTCTTTCTTTCTTTGTATTTCTTTCTTGCTCCTCTCTCTCACACTTTCCCTTTCTTTTATCTCTCTCCTTTTTCTTCTTTCCTCTCTCTTTCCTCTTCTTTCTTTCTTTCCTCTCTCTTTCCTCTTCTTTCTTTCTTTCCTCTCTCTTTCCTCTTCTTTCTTTCCTCTCTCTTTCCTCTTCTTTCTTTCCTCTCTCTTTCCTCTTCTTTCTTTCCTCTCTTTCCTCTTCTTTCTTTCCTCTCTCTTTCCTCTTCTTTCTTTCCTCTCTCTTTCCTCTTCTTTCTTTCCTCTCTCTTTCCTCTCTCTTTCCTCTCTTTCCTCTTCTTTCTTTCCTCTCTTTCCTCTTCTTTCTTTCCTCTTCTTTCTTTCCTCTCTTTCCTCTTCTTTCTTTCCTCTCTCTTTCCTCTTCTTTCTTTCCTCTCTCTTTCCTCTTCTTTCTTTCCTCTCTCTTTCCTCTTCTTTCTTTCCTCTCTCTTTCCTCTTCTTTCTTTCCTCTCTCTTTCCTCTTCTTTCTTTCCTCTCTCTTTCCTCTTCTTTCTTTCCTCTCTCTTTCCTCTTCTTTCTTTCCTCTCTCTCTCTTTCCTCTTCTTTCCTCTCTCTCTCTTTCCTCTTCTTTCCTCTCTCTCTCTTTCCTCTCTCTCTTTCCTCTCTCTCTCTTTCCTCTCTCTCTCTTTCCTCTTCTCTCTCTTTCCTCTTCTCTCTCTTTCCTCTTCTCTCTCTTTCCTCTCTCTTTCTCTTTCCTCTCTCTTTCTCTTTCCTCTCTCTTTCTCTTTCCTCTCTCTTTCTCTTTCCTCTCTCTTTCTCTTTCCTCTCTCTTTCTCTTTCCTCTCTCTTTCTCTTTCCTCTCTCTTTCTCTTTCCTCTCTCTTCTTTCCTGTCTCCTCTTTCTCTTTCCTTCGTCTCTTTCTGGTGTCATTGTAGATTGACTGACAGCAAGTTCTCTAGCATGTTTTTGGCAAGTTTCCAAATGAACCTGTCATTAAACATGACTCTAACTCTTGTGTTCTGTTCTCAAGCATGGTCTTGGTAGTTGGCCAGTTTTTTGCTTTCGCTGTTTTTGCATCAGGTTATTTTCTAGCATAGATTTTTCTTAATGGGGTTGTCAGTATGGGTCTCTGAATATTATTTTTGCCCTCATTTCATACTGGAGATAAAGTGACAGCAAGTCTCCTCAATATTCCAGCATACTTTTTAGTGTTTCAGCTTTTTTTTTTTTTTTTTTTTTTTTTGGTAATGTTGCCATCTGGATGATTTTGTTCCTTCCACTAATTTCCAGTTCCTCTAGCACCAAATTTTCCCAACTTCGGTACCATGGCACTTTAGCATAACGGTTCTGTTTTTTTGTTTTTTTTTGTTTTTTTTTTATTATTATTAACTCAGTTTTTCATTAAATTATTTATTTTTATATGAATTTTGTATTATCTATTTGGATTGTCAAAAAAAAAAAAAACACAATTGTAACCAATGTGTTCCCAATTTTTGTGGTATTGTTCTCAGTACTCTGATAGTGAGTGGCATGACTATTTCTCACTGTTCCAGATCTGACCTCCCTTTTCTCTAATAATGCTTTCATTTGGATAATTTAACTTTTCCTCAGATTTTTTTATATTTGTTATTGTTGTAATTATTTATCAATTATTGTTATTATAATAATAGTTACACATAAATAAATAAAAAAAAAAATCAAGGCACTGCTTACTTCTCAGCAGCCATCTTTGAAGGAAACCGCTTCACTAAAAACAAAACATTTAACATTTATTTAATCATGATTTGATCAATGATTAATTAGTTGATTTATGATCAGTAAACAAGGATAGTCTAATTATAATCTGAATAAACTTTAAATCATATAATTTGGTAATTGCTTACAAGTATGTTTTCATTAACTAGTCCTACAATATATCCCAGCTAAGACAGTAAACTACGTCCAACAGAAAGGCCTCTGATCAGGAGGGTTTGAGGAGCATGGAACCACCTCTTAATTGCTGGTATTCCCAGATCCACTCTGACCAAGGGTGGTAGCACCTGTTAGGGTCCCAGCTATGGGCAAATAGTTAACCTCCAAATTTGGGTCAAAATACTATTAAAGTGTAAAAATAGGTTTTAATACCAGAAATGCCTTGTAAAAAAAAATATTACCAGCAGTAATTTTTTGAAGGAAAAAATTATTACCAGCAATACTTAAAAAAAAAAAAAAAAAAAAAAATTACCAACTATACATTTTGAAAAGAAAAAAAATATTACCAGCAATAAAAATTATTAGCATTAAATAAACCATTGAGGCTGACATGCCATAAAGCAAAATAAACCAAACTAGTTCTACAATTCTTTTTTTTCAGCTGTCAAAAAATATTACTACCTCTGTCCCATAATAGTTGTTGCACTTGCCAGTATATGGAATGTGTATATGTAACAATTATTATGGGACAAAGCATTCATAGATAATACTACCTCTGTCCCATAATAGTTATTGCATCGAGGTATTTGAAGTGTTTCGTGGTTATTAATTCCACATTCTGTAATTTTATGATGGATTCAGGGTTGGTACCATAAATCAATGGTTTATCTTGACACCCCTAGAACAAGACACACTAAATATTAAAATAATTATTATGGGTTTTAAAAAATTTCTTCAATAATGTGTGCTTAATTAAATATTTGTGTGTGTGTATATATATATATATATATATATATATATATATATATATATGTGTGTGTGTGTGCAAATATATAGAAAAATAGGAAAGAACACATTAGATAAATAATCTGAAGTTCTTTAGTATTTGCCTCAATACAAAAATACGAATGAATATGCTTATAAAGATGCATAAATTTCAAGATTAGTTAATTTCGCTTGAAGATTAAACAGAGCTTGATACTTTAATTCAATTTAATTTTAATAATTATATTGAAGTTTTTGGCTCTTGTTTTTTTTGAAACATGAGAACACTCTCTCTCTCTCTCTCTCTCTCTCTCTCTATATATATATATATATATATATATATATATATATATATATGGCTCAAACACTAATATGCCATGGTTATAATTTATTACGTATTACATTGGAATCATAATCACGATTGTAAGTCTGATGAATTGGATTGTGATTATGATTCCAATGTAATAAGTTTTAACCATGGTATATTAGTGTTTGAGCCTTTTATATTGGAGTTTACGAGCTCTACCTGGATTCTATCCTCTTGGAAACCTGCTCCCATTCCCTATTTCCATTTAGTTAAAGTAGAATTTAGGAAGAACCAGAAACCTAATTTTAAACAAGAAATCTGGGATAAACTCTTACAAACCAGAGAAGAATCTCTTTTCCCTCCAGCTATTAGTTAAATAGTTGGGTAGACTGGTCTCTCTTGCCTTGTGTGGTAACCAAAGAGAAAGAAAGCTCTAAATTCCAAACTGTGAAGAAAGCAGTGTGAAACCGATTCTCAAGAAGGCATAGCAATTTACAGATAAAAAAAAAAAAAAAATCTGTGAAGAGCCATGATTGCATAGGTCCTGAAAGAACATGCCATTTAAAAAAAAATACAGAGAATTTATATTATTTATATATGGACTATTGATTATTATCCCATCTTTGTTGTTTATTATCACAATGTTTTGGCTGTTGGGCCCTCCAAGCCTTCACCAGGTGCTTATTGATTCTGGGTAACTTTCAGGGTATTTTATACTGAAACTTTTATATAAACTACAGGGTAGACTGATTTCTGTCTGCTGTTTATTTCTAGAAATATCTCCTTTACTATATGGAATTAGATATAGTTCAAAATGCCATGAAAGTTACTCATGTCAATAAGCACCTGATGAATGCTGAAATGTGATAACAACAAAGATAGGGATATTAGTCTGCATGTAAATAATGCAAATAACAATGACTCCTCATCCTAGAAATTCAAACTGAATATACATTGTCTAAAAACTTAAACATTTAATTTGTTTTCATGTATGCCATTTTATATATACAGGGGTTGGACAAAATAATTGGAACACTTGTTAAATTCAAAGAAAATTTATTTAATATGGAGTTGTTCCTCTTTTAGCCTCACAGACAGCTTTAATACGTCTAGGAATGGAATCATACAGCTTCCTGACTTCATCCAGAGGAATTTTCAGTCATTCTTCCATTAAAACCTACTCCAGCTCTTTACGACACAATGGCGGAGGATAGCAGCTTCTAACTTGTTGCTCCAAAATGCACCACAAATGTTCAATAATATTGATATCTTGAGATTGGGGGGGGCACTCTGTGTTCTAGCTCACTTTTATGCTCTTCATAGAAATTCTTAACCACTCGATGTATTGGAGCATTATCGTCTTGGAAGATGCAGTCACCATCAGGGAATAAAGTCTTGGCTATTGGATGAACATGATCTCCCAAAATGTTCATGTAATCTTTGCTGTTGATTCTACCATGCAGGGCAAATGTTGGACTGAGACATTTCCATGATATGGCAGCCCTAACTATCACTGATCCACTCCATGCTTCACTGTTGGAAGAAGGCAGTCAGGGTTGTAAGCTTCTTTGGGCTGTCTCCACACATAAACTTGCCCTGAAGTTGGGAAAAGTGAAAAACTGGACTTGTTTGAGAATATGACTTGCTTCCATTGGTCTGCAGACCAGGCATTGTGATCTCTGCACCACTTCAACCTCTTTTGAATGTTGCGAGTGGAGAGAAGAGGTTTCCTCACAGCGGCTCTTTTATGATATGCAGCCTTATGGAGCTCACGATGAACAGTTTTAGTAGGAACTGAACTATTCAGATGGTTAATCAAATCAGCAGTCACTTTGGTCATATTTGTCCGATGATTTTTTGCCACATTGTGTTTCAATGCACATCAATCCCTATCAGTAAGTTTGCAAGTCCAGCCCGAATTGCTATGGTTGCTAGAGGTCTTGCCCTGTTTCTCAAATTGCATCAGTGTTCTTGATATGGTAGCTCTTGAAAGACCAAACAGTTCAGCAACCTTAGTGATCAAGGCTTCTGCCATACGAGCTCCAACAATTTGCTCTTTTTCGAACTCGGAGAGGTCACACATTTAGCTTAAATTTTACTAAATTCTAAAAATAAATAAAACAAAGACAGTAAATTAGATAAATAAACGTATTTACAATAGATATAACCTGCAATTATTTATTTTAGTTAATATTCTTTGAAATATAGGGGATTTTGCAACTGTTCCAATTATTTTGTCTAACCCCTGTGTGTGTGTGTGTGTGTGTATATATATATATATATATATATATATAGTTTTATCATATTTATGGGTTAAAATGCTCAATATCAGGGAAATACCATGTGTAAATATAAAAGTGGATACTGAAGTCAACACTGAATGGCGAAAGTCTTTTTCATCCTTCAGTGCAATCTTCATTTCATGTGTGTTGGCCCTAGTATCCACACACACACACACACATATATATATATATATATATATATATATATATATATATATATATATATATATATATATTCTCTAGCAAGTTTCAAACCTGTGCCCACCTTTTGCAAGAGAAACTACCATCTGATCCAGCATGTTTTTACCACTCAGCTATGAAGAGCTTCTCAATAAAGCAGATTCAAATCCTGCTGGAAGGAACATTTTTTTTTTTTTTTAAGTTTTTTTTTTTCAAGTCCGCAGACTAGTAAACTAAATAGTGTTTAAAATAAATAGGGCCTCTATTCAAATACTGATATCCACTAAAAATAACATTTGAAGTGATAAAACATCCAATAATTCTTTATAAATTGCTTTGTTTACATTTCAAATAAGAAACTGAGCAGATATGCATTTTGAGAAAAAAATCTGCATTATATGTGTGTGTGTGTATATGTGTTTGTTCCAATAACTATCTCCAATCAGTGGCAAGATTCATTTTGTTTCAGGGACTATTTCTCTTTCACTAG